CAAGGCGCCACCGCCGTCGGAGGTTCCGACCACCCGAACACCAGGGGAGGCCGGAAAAGGAAAGGACCAAGACTAGTTTACCACCACAAACATCCTCAGACGCCCGCAGCGACCGCCGGCCACCACCTAGCGACCCCCCGCCTTCGAACTCCGACCGCCATGGCGCTCCACGGCAAGAGCGGGACCATGTACGGGGAGGGAGAGACGAATCAGCCACCACGCCAGCGCCGGCGAACCTAGGACGAGCCCGATGCTCGCCGGAATCGCAAGAGAATGAGGCCGCCGGAGGGAAGGCACCTCAATTGAATGCTGGCTAGGGTTTTCTTTTTTCGATTTGGGGGAGACGACTCGAAGAGCCTACCTTTATTTTCATTTTTTAATTTATTTATTATTCGTATTCTATATATAGATTTTTTATCAAATTATATTTTTACTCCTGACCTCGGTATGATCTCGAGGAAGACTGTTCGAAATTTAAAGTCATATTAATTGTTGATCATACATGAAAAGAAAACAAGTAAAATCGAGAGTGTCCAACGACGCAATCGGAATCTCATCGATGAACTTTGAGACAATGGAGCGACCCAAGGAACTTCTAATAAAGTCCTAAACATTCTAGTCACATTTAACATGGAGAATTTACCTAAAAACTACCAATAATTGAAAAAATAACTAAATAACTAGAAATTAAATAGAGAAGTAGAAAAAAGGTATAGAGTGTCGGGAATAATTTCATCTAATCTAAAAGTCTACGTCGAGCGTATGATTGTTCAGTCTAAGGATTGAGGCTTTTAAACATCTAGTGGTCCACTCTCAATAGTTTCGTAACAAGAGATTGAACATAAATAAGCAAGTAAAAGTATGCATACTAAAATAAAAATGGGTCAGGCGAGTAGAGTGTGCCACGTGTATAAGAACAAAAAATATAAGCAAAAGCGACAATTAAACCATTTGTATTCGGGAAGCGTCTCACTACCCCTCAAAGCTCTTTCATTAGCAAATTGGTCTATACTGCTATACCATGATGCCATTTGGTCTCAAGAATGCTGGAGCCACATATCAAAGGCTTGTCAATAAAATGTTTGCCAAACTTATTGGTTACACCATGGAAGTTTATGTTGATGACATGTTAGTCAAATCGGTGCACACTGTTGATCATATGACTCATTTACAAGAGATGTTCAACATCCTTAGAGATTATTCCATGGTGTTAAATCCAAAGAAATGCACTTTTGGAGTCGGTTCTGGCAAATTTCTCTGATACATTGTAACACAACGTGGCATTGAAGCTAACCCCCTGAAGATAAAGGCTATTGTTGACTTAACACCTCCCACATCGGTTAAAGGTGTTCAACCTCTTACCGGCCGACACGCTGCCCTGAACAGATTCATATCAAAGTCGACAGATCGTTGTAAATCCTTCTTTGAATCAATAAAGAAAGGGAAGCACTTTGAATGGACCAAAGAGTGTCAACAAGCTTTGATCAAGATCAAAGAAACACTCGTACAACCACCGACTTTGCAAAAGCCAGTTCCTGAAGAGATGTTATATTTATACTTGGGAGTAAGTGAAGCTGCTATCAGTGTTGTCCTTATCCGAGAAGAAGGACCTCAGCAATATCCAATTTATTATATCAGCAAAGCACTACATGAAGTTGAGCTACGATATCCACCAATGGAAAAGCTGGCTTATGCTCTTGTTACTGCAGCTCGGAAACTCTGACCTTACTTTCAAGAACATTCAATAATTGTGCTTACCCCTTATCCCTTAAGGTCAATCCTTCACAGACCTGATACTTCGGGTAGGATGGTCAAATGGGCGATTGAGCTCGGACAATACGATATCCATTATAAACCGAGGACCGCTATCAAAGCTCAAATCCTTTCCGACTTCATTGCCGAGTTCACCCTCACAGTTGAAGAAATCAATGAAAATCAATCAGAGACTCTATATGTCGATGGTTCACTAACCCAGCACCGAGCTGGCGGAGGCATTGTCTTGATCGATCCTAATAATAAGATGTTCTGTCATTCTGTCAGATTTCTTTTTTCAGCCGCAAACAATGAAGCTGAATATGAAGCTTTACTTTCTGGATTAAGTCTTGCGGAGTCTATGAACGTCAACAAACTCAAGATATTTTCCGACTCGCAATTACTTGTAAATCAAATTCTCGGAGAATTCGAAGTCAAAGAACCTCGACTGGTACCATATTTAACACTTGCAAAACAGAAGATGTCCAAGATTGATGTACAATTAGAGCACATTCCTCGCTCTCAAAACATTCCAGCTGATGCACTTTCCAGACTCACATCGAGTACTGTAATGGAAAACGTTGAGTATATCTAAGTCGGTCAACAAGAATTGCCATCAACTTCTATCAACAAAGTCATGAATGCTGAACTGCAGAAAAATCCGACCTGGATGACACCGATTATCACATACTTAGAAACTGGGGCCTTACCTCAAGATCCCAAAGAAGCTCGATCTCTTCGTATCCGGGCGGCTCGGTTCACGTTGGATAATGGAGTCCTTTACAAACGAGGATATTCAACTCCTTTACTTAAATGTTTGACCGAGCAAGAATCAAAGTATGTCCTTGAAGAAGTTCATGATGGAATATGTAGAAATCACAACGACGCACGAGCTTTAGCTTACAAATACTTCGACAAGTATATTATTGGCCGACCTTGAAGATGGACGCAATGAATTGAGTTCGAAAATGCGCGAAATGTCAAATATTCGTACCCAATGTAAACCAGTTCCCATAATCGCTCAAATCAATATACAGTCCATGGCCGTTTGCCAGATGGGGAATTGACTTGATTGGCCCACTTCCAACTGGAAAAGGAGGAGTCAAATTTGTCATCGTTGCTATTGATTACTTTACAAAATGGGCTGAAGCTGAACCGCTGGCAACAATCACTGAACAAAAAGTTGTCGACTTTATTTGAAAATCAATTATATGTCGGTTTGGAATACCGAGCTCCATTATAACTGATAATGGTCGACAGTTTGAAGGTAAAATATTTGAAGCTTTTTGTGAAGAATATCAAATCAAACATTTCTTCTCTTCACCATATCACCCACAATCCAATGAACAAGTTGAGGTTGTCAACAAAATCACTAAAAACGGATTAAAGACCCGACTTGATGCTGCAAAAGGGATTTGGCCTGAAGAACTACCAAATGTCTTATGGGCATACAAAACAACAGTTTGTCATACAACAGGGGAAACACCTTTCTCCCTCACTTATGGATCAGAAGCCATTGTCCCTGTCGAACTCGGATCTCCAACATACTGAGTTAGTAATTTTCATGATGAATCCAACTCGGAGAATTTGAAGAATAATCTCGACCTCATCGATGAAATGCGCTTGAAGGCCGATCTCCAAATGCGGCCTACAAGCAAAGAAGTGAAAGATATAGCAACCTAAAAGTGAAATCTCGCTCATTCCGAGTTGGTGAACTTGTACTTAAAAGAATCACTGGAGTAGATCCAGGGCCTTTAAAACCAAAGTGAGAAGGACCATTCAAGATAAATCAAGTACTTCCAAAAGGTACCTACCGACTTGAACGACCAGATGGAACTCCCCTACAATACCCTTGGAATGTTGTTTATCTTAAGAAATACTTCCAGCAATGTAAATATGACTCTGTACACTCTTTTGACTAAAAAAAAAAAGAAATTGTGTGCTATTGAGTCTCTTAAAATTTTTACCGAGTTCTTTAACTCGACAGGATGTTGGTCTTTATTTTACCAAGTTTTTCAGCTTGGAAAAGGCTAGCATCTTTACTTTAAATTCTTATAATAAATAAGGGAAAGTCTTGACTATAACCGAGCTTTATAACTCGGCAAGACAAATACCTTTTCGGCCAAAATAATTACTTTCAAAAGACCGAATTATATAGCTTGGGAAGGCTAAGGGCTTACTTTAAATTGACGGATTAAAACCTTTAAAACCAAATCCGATGATTTGGAAAAGGAAAAATCCAACTTTCCATCAACTCCCAATAAAATCAGTTGATGGGGCCCGTTCCCGTAAATCGGACTTTGCCGAGGACCGAACACTTAACAAATTCAGCGAGATAAATGAAAGGAAAAATTACATTTTGTATGCCTAACTATCCGGAATTTTACACTTTACCTACAATTTTTTTTTTTTTGTACACTTTGTCTACATAACTTTGCTTTTTTGTACACTTTGCCATTTTTTGTCACCGCCGGCCACACGTGTAAATAAGGCACAAGAGCCACGTATTGGTTTATGAGGCCGGCGGTGACCGGAAATGGCAAAGTGTAGCAAAAAATCAAAGTTAGGTAGGAAAAGTGTAAAAAAAAAATGTTTTGTAGGCAATGTGTAAATTTTCGG